AGCAGTTAGTAAAGCCCTGCTTAAACTGCTTGTTCACAGTTGGCCTGGAAGAGAGCTCTGTCTTTAATCCAGTGGACAAAAATGGATTTTTAGTCTGGCTTTGGTGTGCTGCGAGATTTAACATCTGCATCCTGAAAGTTGATGCTGTTCATCTGGACGTTTTCAGTGGGAGAAACGTTTCGTCATCATCAGGTGATCTCTTCAGTCTCAGCTGACTGCAGGTTTCCAACCTTATAAACATCTGCACAATGACAGAAACTAGCACCACCGAATGAACAATGGGCTGGGAGGCCAGTTTATGATCATTAAACTGTTATGATCATTGATCAAAGCCCATGAGTCCCATTCACAGAGAGTTGAGGACTGGCTGCAATCACAGCATTGTGAGATGGTTACAGATGCATCTACATCTACTTGTTTACAAAGAAAAATATCAGTTTTCCAAGCTTTCCTGTAGCCAGATGAGCATGGCGTTCCATTACTCGTTTTCCAAAACTGGGACACCACAAGCTACAGTAATATTTTAAAAATTAAATCCCAAAAAACACCCATTTTCTTATTGGACTCCCAGGGTCAGATATTTAAGAGCGACGGCTGTCCGCTTTGTCTCTGATGAAATTGGAAAGACTGTTCCCTACTCTCCTCCCGTTTGTCCACAGCTTCAGTCAAATAGGGGAAAGGTGTAACTCTAGTGAATGCTATATAACATTTACTACCACTTGCTTTTGTGTAAGCAAATATAAATGTAAAAAAGAAGATGCAACACTGTTGGATATCGTGCCTCATCTCCCACCGAGCCTGTCTTTGACTTCTTTCTCTATCGACCCTGTAAAAAGGAATCTCCTTGTATATAAAATCGAATGCATTTGAGCTGCAGCGTTGTACAGTATGTATGTGTGTCACTGAGCTCCAGCAACAAGGTAACATGGTATTATGGCTGACTCGTTTTACATTTACCTGCACAGTTTGGCAGGCTGGGTTTCCCCAAAATGAGGAATGTGCTAGTTAGTTATTTTTGTTTGAGTTTCTTGTACTGGCTTCCATTTCTGTTGGGGGTGTGGAGGGTGGGGTCTCGTGTGTTCATAACCACCCGAAACACCCAGATCAGTGTTAACATGGTGTGGAATACATGAGTGTAGCAAATGCAGGTCCAGAAAATCAGGCCTTAGTTCTCCACGAGTGACAGAAACTGAAAAAACCTGTAGATTTCAGATACAAATCAACATCTGAAGCAAAACGTCTCCTCCCTCCAAGCTCTGCTGTAACTGTTTGTCTTTATCCTTTTTTTCTTGTTTTAAACACAGTAATGTAAGAATCTGAGACCCGCATTACATCAGTCAGCCACAGCACTGCCTAATTTTGTCTCGTTGAGCCGAATGTGACCCCTCACGGCATGAAGCACCTCTGAGGGTGTCCCGTTGTTCCTCCAGAGAAAGGGGAATTTGCCTGTGGCCCCAGTTTTGGTAAACCCAGCCCAGTGTCGTGCACGGTCATTGCTGTGATGAAGCATTGTCACTCAGAGATGGTGAGGGGAGCTGTAGGGTGCTGGGTAGGTGATCTCACCCTAACTCAGGTGGACATATCACATCCTGGTTTTTCCAAAGTTTTTAGGGAAGAAAAACAAGAGAAACTTTGATCTGTGTGGCTTTTAAGTTACACCTTTTTTTTCTTGCTTTTTACAAATGTTTATTTTACTGAATGGGCAGATGTGTGATTATCAAACTGAGATTGTTGTAATTTATAATTGTCATCTTCAGTGTAATGATAATCTCATCTTAATGCTTTGTATCGTCTGTCCTTGGTATCATTTGTTCTGTTGCCCCCCCCCCCTTTACTCCCTGCAGTGTGTGTGCGTGCGTGTGTGCGTGCGTGTG